TGCCGATGGGGACAAGGGCCTCTTCCTCACAACCCTGACCCGGTGGTTGTGGGGGTCTGCGGACAAGGGGACTTATTTGCATCGGGGTACCCATTTAAAAAGGGGCACCCAGATGCCGCCCTACCCCTTGCGAATGAGTAAGGGGTACTTGTACTCCTACCCATTCACTAAAGGGTTAAATAAAATAGTTAGTAAAAAGTCCAGGCCCTTGTCCCCATCGGCAAGGGGACACCCTCCCAATGCCGAGGGCACATGGCCTGGTAAGGCGCAGTGAGGGGGACGCTCGATCTTCCCCCCTTTCCTGCCCAGCCGGGCCAGTGCTCGCATCAAGGGTCTGGTAGGACTGTTAGGGGGGACCCCACTTTTCCCCCCCCCCCAATTTCTGGGGCTGGGGTTCCTCCATTAAAATTCCTACCAGACCTAAAGGGTCCGGTATGGATTGTGGGGGGAACCCCACGCACTTTTTTTTTGTTTTAACTTGGGGGAGGATCCCTCCTAACATTCCTACCAGACTTAAAGGGACTTTTTTTTCTAATGTCACTTTGCTGCTAACGACATTTCGTCCAATAAACGAAATTTCGACCGGACTACCGCTAACGAATTTCGTCCGAATCCTAATCCCGAAACGAATTCAATTGCAGACCAGAATCCGAAAAACGGCTACTGCTAACGAATTTCGTCCGAATCCAAATCCCGCAATTGCGGACCCGAATCTGAAAAACGAAATATGCGAAATCCGAATCAAAACGAAACTAAACACATTTTTTGCTGGTGCACATGTCTACTATGTATGTGCTGGGTCTCATGGCTGCTGACTTTCAATTTCATTGTCAGCACAACTTTTTATTGCTGTCTATACATTATGACAAGGTCTGTTTTGCCATATGAAGATTTTGGTGTCATAGTATTATTGGCGCTAGGATCAAGTATGTGGTATAAACAGAGGGTAAGGCTGAGGGTCACTCTACTCATAGACATCATGGTCTCAGGATTTCAAGTTGAATACCGTATATACTCGAGTATAAGCCGAGATTTTCAGCCCATTTTTTGGGCTGAAAAGTGCCCCCCTCGGCTTATACTCGAGTATATACGGTATAATGTTTGTATTAAAGTGACACTAAACTTAGGAATTAAATCTTAAAAATTAAGTGGTTCTAAACCCTCCGTTTTTTTGCCTATATCTACTGCTTGCTAGCAGTAGATATAGGCAAAAAAACGGAGGGTTTAGAACCACTTAATTTTTAAGATTTAATTCCTAAGTTTAGTGTCACTTTAATACAAACATTATACCGTATATACTCGAGTATAAGCCGTCCTGAATATAAGCCGAGGTACCTAATTTTACCCAAAAAAACTGGGAAAAAGTATTGACCCGAATATAAGCCGAGGGTGGGAAATGAGGCAGCTAATGGTAGATAGATACCAATAAAATTACATTAATATTTATTTAAAAGAAAAATAACCTAGCTCTGTAAGTGGAAAAGGGGGTACAGGGCTACATATCATGTACTACGGATCATTTAACCCATTCATGTTAGCAGAGGATCATTGTAAATGTATTGTCTGCACTGTATTAGCAGTATATACTCTATATAGAGTATATACTGCTAATACAGTGCAGACAATACATTTACAATGATCCTCTGCTAACATGAATGGGTTAAATGATCCGTAGTACATGATATGTAGCCCTGTACCCCCTTTTCCACTTACAGAGCTAGGTTATTTTTCTTTTAAATAAATATTAATGTAATTTTATTGGTATCTATCTACCATTAGCTGCCTCATTTCCCACCCTCGGCTTATATTCGGGTCAATACTTTTTCCCAGTTTTTTTGGGTAAAATTAGGTACCTCGGCTTATATTCAGGACGGCTTATACTCGAGTATATACGGTATAATGTTTGTATTAAAGTGACACTAAACTTAGGAATTAAATCTTAAAAATTAAGTGGTTCTAAACCCTCCGTTTTTTTGCCTATATCTACTGCTAGCAAGCAGTAGATATAGGCAAAAAGTAAAAAAAAAAAAAAAACGCTTTAACAGCGGTGTAAACTTACCTCGTTATCGATGCGTGCTCACGAGCCGAGAATCTGGAACTGCTCGTGCGGCCACAAAGGATCTTGGGGCAGGCGCATGCGCAGTTCGGATTTTCGGCCGGGAGAGGAGCAGAGACACAAGGTAAGTCGAGGACGCGTGCACCTGCATGCAGACACCGCTGGATCGGAAGTGCCTGCAAGCAGAGAGGAGTCAGCGCTGGATCGGAGAGCCGCCACCCTGCTGGAGGGACAGATGAAAACATCAGGAAAGAAGAAGAAGAAGATCGGAATAAGTGTATTTGTGTATCACTCGGCTGTAGATCCTCAAATCATCTCTGAATTAGTGCTGACACTGTCCTTCCTTCTGGAGGGTGGCTACTTTTGTTCCCCATGGTCGCTGTGTGTGTTGTAAAGTAGTCACTGCTTCAAACTCACTCCCGGGATGGACTATAATCTCACGTTAGTTTACTAATTTGTATTGAGATTGTATTCCATCACAGGAGCGAGCTTGGAGCAGTGACTACTTTACAACACACACAGGAACCATAGGGAACAAAAGTAGCCCCCCTCCAGAAGGAAGGACAGTGTCAGCACCGATTCAGAGATGATTGGAGGATCTACAGCCGAGTGATACACAAATAAGATACATTTTTGTTAATAGTTGAGGTACTTGAATGTATTTTAAAGATTTAACTCCTGAGTTTAGTGTCATTTTAACGGTAACTGGTCAGATCTGAACTGAACAGCAAAGTATTTTACTGCTCTCGTTAGGTTTTTTAAGGCACTAGACAGTAGGGCTGCAACAACTAATCGATTAAATCGATAATAATCAATTATGAGAATAGTTTGCAACTATTCTCATCATCGGTTAGTTGGTTGGAGAGAGAGAGAGAGACAGAGAGAGATTTTTTTAATGCAACCAATTGATTAGTTGAAAAAATAATCGGGCAACTAATCGATTATGAAAATAATCGTTAACTGCAGCCCTACTAGACAGAATCCTGGCCAGGCAGACCTTCTTCATTTGAAACCATTGCTTCTTATGTACTGTACTGTACTAATTTCCAAATTTTCAGTCACTGTTACATTGACACACATTTTTTTATTCTAGTGTCAATAGCTGCCCCTTCATATCAGTGTGACCCCACCAAAGTGGCTATTAATGGTGGCAACTACTCAATAAGTGAAGATGGCATGAATGTGGAATACAAATGTCCAAAAGGAAAGTATCCATACCCAGCTGCTACACGTGAGTGCCAGAGAGATGGGCAATGGACAGATCCCAAAAGAAAAGCTGCATGTAGAGGTAACTACCTTTTATTCATTACTTATCTCCTCCTAAGTGGTGTCTCTCATTGCTCCCTACCTATCTCTTCTAGGACAGGGTTACCTATGGCCCCCTACTATGCTTTATCATTTCATAACTCCTCCTGGTCATTGTCACTCATCGCCCTTCCTTTGATGTGTCACTGCCCTCTTCTGTGCTGTTTGATATGTGTTTTCTCCTGTGCTTGACCATCTTCCCCCCCATGTTGTATTGATGCCTTCCACTTCCTGTGTGCCACGGTCCCCTCCAGTGCTGTGCCCCTACCTGCCCCATGCTATTTTAGTTTCCTCTTGTTTTCTATAAAATATAGAACAAAGGGAGTGCTAGACCAAAGGAAAACTCCAAACAAGAAAGTCTGTTTATTTCTAAAAGGTCCATTAACAAGCTAAGGTTTTCCCTGGGGTCATAGAGGACCTTCTTCACCAGGGCTCCAAAGTTGCAACGGACGGTCCAAGCACTGTCACAATTCTCTTGTTCCACCCAGAGGGATGTATGTTCACTGGATGCAGCCACCTTAATCAGAGTGTATAGTGGCGAGTTGCTTCACTTTTAGCAGCTACCTTTCCTATAAGGCAAGATACGCCTAGCGGTACTCCGATGCCCCCGGGACTTCAACTATACACTCTGGCTATAAATGTCGCAGATGGCCCCAGGACCAAAGGAGTAGTACTGACTGGTGACAAGGTAGAAGTCAAACAGAACACAAGAAAGAAGACAGGAAAAGGTAGCAAGATACAAGACACAACTACGCTACAAGAACAAGATAGGACTATTATTATACAGGATTTATATAGCGCCAACAATTTGTGCAGCACTTTACAATATAAGGAGGACATTACAATCACAATACAATTCAAGACAAGATGGTAAGGAGGGCCCTGCCCCTGAGGGATTACAATCTAAGAGGGAGGGGCAAGTGATACATGAGGAGGTAGCTGTGTGGGGATGAATTGTTTGGGAACGTGATGGTTGAGTGGTAAGGTTGAGGTGGGATAGGCTTCCCTGAAGAGATGAGTCTTAAGGGATCGCTTAAAGGCAGTCAGAGTGGTAGATAGATGGACAGGTTGGGGTAAAGAGTTCCAGAGGATGGGAGAGACTCCAGAGAAGTCCCGTTGGGAGAGACTCTAGAGAAGCATCTCCTCCCATTGCGAGCATGGGAGGAGTTGGTGAGGGAGCTGGAAAGCAGGAGGTCATTGGAAGAGCAAAGGGGACGTTAAGGGTGATACTTTAGCAAATACATAATTCTGTGATAATAAACGCATTTGTTTATTTCTGGTAAAAGCATCAAATACAGATAGACTGTTAATAGGCTGGGGATAGTAAATAATCTATTTACTAGATTAATCTTGATGTAAGGATAAGGATTTTTAGTATGCTTTTAATTATCTTTTCATAAATGCAATGTTTTTGTAAGTCATGTAATTAAAGTCTTGTCTTAGTACCTAAAAAGATTGCCTTGCTTCACAACCTTTTGCAATTATTTATATGGATGTGGCAGCGTCACACACCAACCCATTCTTGGTCTTTGTAATTAATTATAAATGATGGGTATTCCCATCTCCTGAAGGTTTCATGGTCACAATATAGCTTCTCTTCTATAGGTCTAGCTGTCCTGTTTAGTACGATTATTCCTATACCCTAAAAGTTGGAAACCCTGATGAAGGAGATACCCTATAACCTGGCTTGTTAAGGGACTTTTTGTCCCTTTGTCGTTTCCTTACGCTTTCACATGCCACTTGTGTCTTTTCAACACAGTTCACTTGTGCTTCTTTATTTCTACTCTCTATAGATTTTGAATGCCCCAGACCAGTTATGTTTGAGGGTGGAGACTATTCACCGCGTAAAGCAAAGTATTTTGTGGGTGACGTCCTGGAATTCGAGTGCTGGGGCGGATTCGATATGCGTGGACCTGAAAACCGCACGTGTCAGGAGAATGGAAAATGGAATGGAGAAACAACAAAATGTGATGACGGCGGTGAGAATTTCAGACAAATTACTTTTTTTTTAGAAGATAATGAGGATGCTTTCATTGTAGGACATTCTTAAAAAATAATTAATATCAAATAGGAACATTTTACATTCAAATGAAATGCAAGGAAGTGTTATTTTGTTTAAATCATGGCAACTATATTATGCTCTGTGAGGTAAATCCCGATGGTTGACAGTAGGATGCTATCTGGGAATAGCCCTAAATCTGGGCTTGTAAAAATGAAGACCAGCATGTCTCTGGTTTGAGCATCATTCTCTGTCTGAGCCTGCAGTAGTTCAATAATGTAAAAGAAGTAGTTGCATAATACAGAATCATGGGATGGGAGGCTGCGGTCCTATCCAAATACTGCTCCTCATCTGGCATGGTACGAAATGAAGCATTGCATGCCCGTGTTTTCACTGCTGTGCTATTTAATATTGTGTCAGTTTGTTCAAGATTTTATTATATTATTATTTAGAACTGGACTAGAGATGGATACGTTTTAGGTAGCCCCGGTTATTCTGTAGGTGTACACACAGTGTATTTCACATGCAAATGGATTTTTTATGGATTTTTGATTGCCTTTAAATGTATTTTTTATTTTTTAACTGATGTTCTATTTTTTCAATTTATTTAAAATCTAAGTTTTGAAAAAAACATTCAATACAGGGTGCAGCCATGACTCCGGTGGGTTTTTGAAGAGCAGAAGTTGTTTCCTTTTAAACTCTCTATGTTTGAAACTTCTTCAGCTGCTCTGAACAGAGCAGGCGGTAAAGTGTAAGGGGCAGGGATGGTTAACATTCTGGTATGTATGTAAAATTGTGCACTGGAACGCAGGGCATTGCGGTACCACGCGTTCCGGTGTGGGCAATCGCACTGCAGGTGGAAGGCGTGCCTGTGGTGCCATTGAAATGAACCACCACGCCCCTTCTAGCCCCAGAACACGGGGAGGCTTTGTTCAGGACTGTGTGATGCACGCACTGGATGGTGTGAACGGGCCCTCAAAAATAACATTGAACATGTTCTGTTATATCTTTAATAAGCACAAAAAAAGACCTGTTGATGGTGCCAGCGATCCAGTAAGCTTGTAACTTTCTGTGCACACTGCCTGTGCTGCATTGAAATCCTAAGCAGTGTTATCAGTTCTGCCCAGTCCACTTTTGTGGACCATAGAGCATCTTCACTCTGTGTTATAGAGAAGAGAAAAGGGGGAAGTGTTCTGTAATCCTGGCATACTTCCTGTCCTAGGGTGACAACTCTGCTTAGTGTTAGCATGGACAGGAAGTGTGTTACTGCCAGGTAAAAATAAAGGAGAAAAATTAACAAGAAAACAAATGCAGTCACCACCTCTAGGGATCGGTAAGCTATAATTTATTGAATGTTTGTTCTTGGGTTTAGATACACTAGACAGACGACTATGTATCTTACAATTATATATGCATTGTCAGACTGTTCTGTTGTGGTCACTGGTAATATCATTCTATGTAACTTACATTACTTCTTTGTTCTCTTAAGAGGGTCATTGCCCCAACCCAGGAATCCCCATTGGTGCCTCTAAAGTTGGTACTTCATATAGAATTGAAGGCAAGGTCACCTATGATTGCCAGGATGGACTGAAGATATTTGGATCGAAGACTAGGGAATGTAAAGAGAACAAGAAGTGGTCAGGATCTGAGCCATCTTGCAGATGTAAGATAACTGAGACAGAATCATATCACCATCTAATATTAAAATGTCTGTGCAAAAGGTCAGTTCTGGTGGATAGTTCTCAAAGGTTCCAGCAGTGAGATTTCTCCTCTATTTTTTTTTCCTTTTGCTTCCTCATCATGATGCATCAAGAGGAGACATCTCAATAATCCAGTTGAGTATTCTCTAAATAAAAATAATCAAGTCAGGTCATTGTTCATTCACGTCAGCACCAAGGTTAAAGCTTCTAGCTTTTTTTCTGTACTTAAAGGAGAACTATGAGGTGAGTGCTTCTCACTCACCTCATAGTTCTAGCCGACCTGTGACAATGAGACTGTCACAGGTCGGCTCAGTAGATCGGGAGGTGAGCGAACACATACCGGCGTTCTCTCACCTCTCGATCCTGTCACTGAGCTTAGGGTAACGGGAGGACGCTAGTTTGTGTCCTCCTGTTACCCTAAGGAGAACTATGGGGAAAAGCCCTGACCCCATGGTTCTCCTTTAAAGCCCAAATTCAGCCAAAACTTTTTTAAAGTCTTGGATAGAGTAGGATACAGTTAGAAGCTCTGTCAGGTTGTGAATGCTCAATAAAAGTAATTCACTGGCACACACTTGAAGGGTTTTTAGAATATTGATATGTTTATTCAATACCCAATGTCACATACTGTCATACGGTGCTAACGTTTCGGGTACGCACAGGGATCCTTTATTAGAGCGACACTGTCACTCTGATCTTTAATAAGGAGAACTATGAGGTGAGTGCTTCTCACTCACCTCATAGTTCTAGCCGACCTGTGACAATGAGACTGTCACAGGTCGGCTCAGTAGATCGGGAGGTGAGCAAACATATACCGGCGTTCGCTCACCTCTCGATCCTGTCACGGCTCTCTGCCATGACAGGGGAGGGGCTGGATTCCCCCCTCCCCGCTTCGATCCGCCAGCGCTGACTGGCAGAACGGACGGGGGAGGGGGCGGGTGCAGCTGGCTCTGCCTCTAGATAGGCAGAGCCAGCTGTCACTCACGCAGCTGGGCGGATCTCGACATCAATGTCGGGATCCGCTCCGGCTGCGGCGTCTCAGTATACCGCGAGCTACCCTATTTTTCAGATTCCAGTTGAAGTAGTATACCACAAACATCATATTTTTTATTTCTACAATATCTTATAGACCACATTGTCTAACCCACATCCCCATTTTCTCTTTGGAGGAATAAAAAAATTTAAATGTTAGAGTTTTCTTCTACTAGAAGTAAGATGGCTTATACAGCATTTACAATTATTCTACAATTTCTTTTAGACCTCATTGGCTAAACCACGTCCCCATTTATCTTCGGAGTGTCCGAAAAAAGTAAAGTTTATATTTTTAACATTACAATGTAAGGACACTCCACATGAGTTTATTTGATTGAGTCCCAGCAGCCAGTGGCAGTAATCAACGACTCGCATCAATCTTGGCGAGGGTATAGACTGGAACTCCCGGCTGTCTGTGACACCCGACATCCAGCACTAAGTCCAGAAGCTGAAACAGTCAGATTCTGGGTGCTTCAAATGCTTTATAGGAGAATGCTGTAAAATAAAGGTACATTAGGAGTGTAGTGAAAGCACAATGTCATTGCAATATCATTCACTACGGAGGCTTGTGCAGAGCTGTTCTAGTATTAAAAAATAGAATAACAATATACAGTTTATACATGTAGCTAAACAGAGTTACTGATGGTGCGCTCAAATGATTTAGCTGACTCCTCAATGTCAGATTGCGGGGCAATGGCGGGAGGAAGAAGAGAGCGCATTTGCAGCTGTGGATGACTATGCGCTATTCTGCACCTCCGCGAAGGAGGATGATAAAGGTTAGGTTATCCACTCCACCACCTCCTCTGTGTGCTCTGGTTGTAGAACATGCCTACTTCCAGAAATGTGCTCTGCCACTTAAAGGTGTCTCCCAGGCATGATGACAACAGGGGATTGCCTAATTTTATTACCAGCTATGGCAATGAAGAGGATGGAGAATGTGACTGTTGCTGTACTGCACAGTCAGGTGATTTGGTGCAGTTAACTGGAGTGAGGAAGTATGGGTGATGTACTGCTAACAAATGGCAGCTATGTCTGCGTCACCAACAAGTGCATGCTGCTGATCCTGGACAACAGTTCTTTTTAGGACAATAAATAAAACTAAAAAACGAAACCCGAAGTTATTGCTGACACAAAATAAGGACTGCTAAAAAGGACTGTTGGGTCTATTCACTGTGAATACAATGGGTGGTACACACTCTAATGCAGTGCACAGTAATGGAATTGTGAACAGGACACTGAATACGGCCACCACACTCCAATTCACTATAATGTAGTAGTGGCAATATAGGGCACTGTATATAGTACTGTATGGCTCTGTGAGTAGTAAACCAGGATTGTACAGTAGTACAATTATCTGTCCCTACATTCTTTGTCAGCTGACATTTATAGAGAGGAGGCTGGCACATTTGCTCACCCCCATTATTGGTCGTACTTTCCCATCTGACCAAAGTTCATAGGTCAGGCAATGCATTATGGGAGTTCACTTTTTATGCTCAGGTGAACACGCTCCTATGTGCACCTATTAGGCGAACAGCAAGCAGGGAAAGTTTCTGTGAAAACAAGGACAAATCTTCCCAGTGGGAATACATATAGCAATTAAAAGCTAAGGGTGGAGGTATCCCTCATAAAGAAAAAGAAAAACTTTTTCACTGAAATTCCACTTTTCCCAAATAAATATTTAGGACTGGCTTGCATATGTAAACAAAAATCTGGATATCACATATTATAATGTGGCTAATATATGTCTTTACAAACCACCTTGTTCACAGCTTTTTACACATATGATACCCCGGAAGAAGTGGCAAAGATTTTTGGCTCCTCCCTTTCTGAAACCATTGAATCATCAGACCCGGACAGAGTTGAAGGTAGGAAAATATGTAGTAGATAGTTTATCATATAGCATATAAATACATTTAAAGGAATTGTGATAACAATATGGGGCAGGTCCGTTTTTTGTTCCAGCATGACTGTGCCCATTTGCAGAAAGCCAGCTCCATAAAGACATGGTTTGCTAAGTTTGGTGTGGAAGAACTTGAGTGCACAGAGCCCTGACCTCAACCCTACTGAAAATCTTTAATTGATTATGAGCCAGGTCATCCCATCCAACATTAGTGACTTCCTCACAAATGTTGCTTTGGCTGAATGAGCACAAATTCCCACAAACACACTCCAAAATAAAAGGGGCCAAAGAAGGGGCCAACTCCATATTAATGTTGATGGTCTGGAGTGTCTCATATAGTTTTGATGGTCAGGTGCCCATTCCGATTTTGGACATGCAGTACAGGTGAAACTCGAATAATTAGAATATCGTGCAAAGTTCATTTATTTCACTAATGCAACTTAAAAGGTGAAACTAATATATGAGATAGACTCATTACATGCAAAGCAAGATAGTTCAAGCCGTGATTTGTCATAATTGTGATGATTATGGCTTACAGCTCATGAAAACCCCAAAACCCCAAATCCACAACCTCAAAAAAGTAGATTATTACATGCAATCAATAAAACAAGGATTGTACATAGAACAATATCGGACCTCTGAAAAGTACAAGCATGCATATGTACTCAGTACTTGGTTTGGGCCCCTTTTGCAGCACTTACTGCAATTACTTTTGCACGATATTCTAATTATTCGAGTTTCACCTGTATATCTTACGGAGGAAGCAGGGCCCAGGGTCTTATCTGACGCTGATTTAGTTCGTTTTCAGAGAAAAGGACAAATTAAGGGTCTTAAACATATGGGGCTGTAGGCTAGGGTTGGGGAGTCCAGAGCTTGCGCCAGGTGAAAATTGTCAGCCAAACAGGTGCTGTTGCTTTCTGAATACGATAGCCTAGGAGGAAATTCCCCCATGCCCTCTCTATCGTGTGGATGGTGTAATTGCGTGACTTGAATAAGAGAAATGTACACATGTATGGCAAGCGTTAGTCCATGCAGTCTATTTAAAGTGCAGCAATGCAACAGCTCCTACAGAGAATACAGAGATAAACACAATTATACACTGCAAACACTTTTGGCATACAATATTTAGAAAACATAAACTGACACTGATTGTTCTGCTCAGTACTGTGACTCCAGATGTGGCTGCGGATGGGTTAAAGTTTTTTTAGGTGGCAAATTCCTGTGAGATAAAACTAGTTAGGAGACAATATAACGTGAATTAGATTTCTGAACCCCATAGAGAAGAGTGAAATATTTTGCCTAATTATAGAGGGGGATTCTACACTGACAACCAATGAAAGGGGGGATTCTATATTGACCACCAATGTAACAGAAACATTTACACTGACCACCAATGTAACGGGGACATTTACACTGACCCCCAATGTAACAGGGACAGTTACACTGACCACCAATGTAACAGGGACATTTACACTGACCATCAATGTAACAGGGACAGTTACACTGACCATCAATGTAACATAAACATTTACACTGACCACCAATGTAACAGGGACATTTACAATGACCATCAATGTAACAGGGACATTTACACTGACCACCAATGCAACAGGGACATTCTTATGGGGACTATTCAGGCAATTGTGCCGCTTCATGTGATCCGAACCACCTGCGGCCCAAAATGTCGGAGCGTTTTTAATTGCGTTTCAGCTCTAAAACGCGACTAAAAACAGCCAAAAATTATCTTTCAAAAATCGTGCGGAAACCATGGTGAAACGCTTCCGCCCTGGTGTGAATGGGGCCTGAATGAGGCCTAACACTTTAATACTGCCACACCAATAAGAGGCTGAGGAAAGGGGAGATTAGAAAAAAAATGAATAAATATGTTAAAAATCGTTTTTGCGCTGTGTTGGTGTTTGTGTTGTTATAAAATGATACAGGCGTATATTTCATTACAACACAACGCACCACAATGCGTCACAAAGGTTTGCCTTGTGCTGCCACAGTTAAATTAATGTTTTTTTACAAAATAAAAAAAATCATGCACTGCGATGCATTCTAACAACGCACTGCAGCACATGTGCCTGGCATACACCACAATATGGTGCACGTGTATGCTATGTGTGTGTGTGTGGGGTGGGGGGTTGTGCTTTTTTTAAATTTGTATTTATATATTTTAATTAATTTTTTCATTATTTATTATGATTTTTAATATATATAATGAAGAAATTACACTGATCACCAATGTAAGTTGCATTTACACTGGCGGCCAGTAAAAGGGTATTTTACACTGACCACCAATGTAAGATGTAAGGGGGGATTTTACACTGACAGGGACATATACACTGACCACCAATGTAACGGCAACATTTACACTGACCACAAATGCAAAAGGCACTTTTTCACTGACCACCAATGTAACTGAGACATTTACAATGACCACCAATATAATAGGGCAATTACACTGACCCCCCCATGTAAGGGGGATTCTACACTGGCCTCTAATGTAAGGGGGATTCTACACTGACCACCAATGTAAGTGGGGGGCCACTATATTTACATATAAATGAGACTTGACTCATTTATTTGTACTGTAAATATTGCGGCTCTTTGATATGTAAACCTGGAGGCTTAATGCAGGTTGATTAGCACTAAGGCAAGGCTAGGCTGAGGCTGAGCTAACTTCCTTTAGTGGGACAAAATCCCGGACACAGGTTTAGAGGAATGAGTTGACAGCTGGCGGGACAGTCCTGGATTTTTGGTAACTATGCCAAGACTTGTTGCAATACTGTGTGCGATAATGACTGAATTTGCAGTCTACGCCTGGCTAAAAATCAGCTTGATAATAGGAAAACGATGATTTAACTTGTTAGGGGATTTGGTTGGGGGTCCCATATTGACTGTAATTCTAACTTGCATAATATACCTTATTCTCTCTAAATCTGTATATTTCCATGTTGCAATTTTCGTCTATAATCTTTACAGTGACAGGAGATCGTAAACTGCAAGTAAGAACAGGTGGCGACATGAATATTTTTTTGATTATCGATGCCTCAAAAAGTGTTGGACCGGACAACTTCAAGACTGCAAAGGAAATTGCAACAACATTCATAGAAAGGGTACGGAGCCTTATGTTTGGCCAGCGGGGATTGTAACATAGGGATATGGCCCATTATGGTGAAGAGTTGACCAATTGTTTCTTTTTACAACTAACTAGTTTTCAGCTGCAATTCTGCGTCTCCATGTATGAAAATTAGGAAGCATTGTGATTGGTTGTTGTTGCAGGCAGTGCAGACTTGGGGCAGTGTAGCTTATTTATTAGAAGGGGAACTGTGCTGCTCATGTAACTAATCAGATAACTCCTTTTATGTTCTCAAATGCACAAGAAATGGGACCATAGTTTCCCTTTCTCCCAAGTAAGATGTATGCCATCATTGAGCATGCACACACTTGAGTCCAAAGTATCCAGTGTAATATTACCCAATGATTAAAGGGGAGGGTAGGTATTTTTATGTTTGTATTGATCTATTTAATTATTGTTTATTTTTTTTAATCATTTTTTATTTTTTGTTTATTTATGCGCCTCTGTAGCAATAGATCACTTACTATAATGATTACTGCTCACTGTTAGCAGCAAGCAATAGATTCTAATGATCTGCAGCTACAGGGGGATATTGATGCTGACCTGCCTCATCTAAAGATGGCTACCACAGCTCACAGGTGACATCAGAACACCTACTCTTTAGGGTTCATTCACACGGGAATCGACCGGCACATACAGCTCTGTGCTGCGTGCACGGCCGTATCGGGCAGCTCCCGAGTGGGACAGGTGCTGCGTGTGATTAGTACGCAGCCTCTGTCCTTCTCTATGTGACTACGCGGCTATGTCTGCGTCCGAGCCAGCACACACACACCCGTATGGACCTGCACTTGAGGTGAGCGTAGGGGGGGCGTATTACCGCGCGTAGTCCCATAGAGAAGGACAGGGGCTGCGTACTAATCACACGCAGCACCTCTCCTTCCCGGGAGCTGCCCGATACAGCCGTGCACGCAGCACAGAGCTGTACGTGTCGGCCAATTCCCGTGTGAATGAGCCCTTAAACTCAAATTAGATGCATTTTGTTACAGTTTGTTTAGATCCTGTCTGGCCTTTTAAAGAATAACCACTGAAGGAGACTTGCTGTTTGAATAGAACTCTGGGTCAAACAATTCCAAAACAAGCTCCATTTTAAAACAGCTCGCAGAACGTAGTTAAAGTGACATGAAACTCAGGAAGTAAATCTTAAAATACATTCTAGTACCTTAACTAATATAGCACCCTGTAAGCCGGAGTGCTTAGTAAATTCATTAATTGTCAGATTGTAATCAGTCTGATTCTGATTTGTAGTCTACGCTTGTGTCAATTTGCAGATATGCATTTCCCTACCTCCTGTCTTCTTTTTAACCGCCGGGCAGTCGTCCACTACGTGGTCAGGGGAGGCACAGTAGAGACATAGATTCAACGTGCGTCTCCTAGCCTTTTCAGTCGGCGTGAGGGGTCCCAACATGGTTCCTAGACCTCCCTTAGGGGGAGGTCTGGCTCTTCTTGAGGCTGGTGTGGGGGTGAAGACCCTTTCTGCTCTCCGTTCACGGAGGCGGCGGTCAATCGTGATGTCCGGTTGGTAACAGTCCCATACACAGGTTCGTGAGGCAGCAGGCGTTCAGACAACAATCACAGAACGCCATGCTGCCTCATCAGTGCCCTTAAATAGGGCCAGGAAGTGAGGAGGGATTGCTGATTGGTCCGGACGACTTCCGCGTTCCACCGTGGAACGCAGCCGCCGCGTCACAACCCGGAGTTTGTGCGTCTTCCGCGTTCCACGGTGGGACGCAGAGGACCGCGGCAGACAAACAAGAGGCCGCCCCGTCTGCGGCATTACACTAGGCCTGAAGCCTGGGGACTAGCCATTTACTTACACTGAGGCCTGAGTCCGGGGGCCCAGTGGCTATTACTGAAGCCAAGGATGAAGATGACTGGTTACTTCAGATCCAAGTACTGCTTGCCGGGGGCTCTACATGCAGATTGCCATGTCTGGCTTAAAGATCCTAGTCTGTGAATTGCAGCAGTTACTGTGCTCTATTCATAGTAGGAGTCTACATCAGCCTGGATGATCCTGACCCTCAACCCTCTCTCCCTGAAGTTTATCAGTAATGTTCCTCAGCATCATACCTATGGTCTGGACTTCCTAGATCCCCTTGACATGCCTATAATGGATGACACACCTTTTTCTCTGTGTCTCCTTGGGGGGTGTGGAACACTAATAACAAAATGTATTTTATTTGTGTATCACTCGGCTGTAGATCATCAAATCATCTCTGAATTGGTGCTGACACTGTTCCCCATGGTCCCTGTGTGTGATGTTAATTAGCCACCGCTCCAAGCTCACTCCTGTGATAGACTACAACCTACAGTATACCTATACAAATTAGTAAACTGAACATAAGATTGTAGTCCATCACAGGAGTAAGCTTGGTCATGGTATAGCTAGTAGTAGTCAGTCACACCTAGTCAACCAAACCTGTTCTGTAATGCTTAAGATGTTTCAGTGCTCATCCAAACAGCATCCTCAGTTCTAATGAATTTCAGGATTGCTGCCTTGCCTAGGGCAGCAGCAAAGGTAAATACACCGCTGATCATACTCCAGTATTTCTAGCCACTTGAGTAACTGAGTGACCTTAATTCAATATCCATAGAATGTGGCAAGATAGATGGGGCTCTATTTATGAATAAGTCTTAGGGCCATTCACTGTGGAAGGGAATGCCAAAAATGAATGTTCTTAAAATATTTTTCCCAGTTCAAATGTAGTGTTGTAATATTACATTATGACCACTAGGTGGAGCTGATGAGCATAGGAAATGAGAGGTCACATTTCCTATGCTCATAGATGGATTGGTAGCTAGCACTTACTACACTTTGCCTATTTTCTTTGTGCTCTAGCTTCCTGCTCTTTATTATTATTAGAACCCATAGTATCTGTTTGATCTGATAATCTCTATTATATCTAATATCCACGCATGTTTTTTGGTTGTAGGTTTCCACCTTTTCCTTCACACCTCGGTATTCAGTCCTCACCTATGCTTCAAACATAATCAGAATTGTGTCTCTCTCCGAGTCCGAGATCAATACAGACGCTGACAAAGTTACAGAAGAAATTATGGCGTTTGACTATCAAAGTAAAGTATTAGCTAGATTATTCAATGACCTGTCAACAAGAAAATATTTGGTTATAAGAGGAGCCTGGCGGCTGAGTCAGACCTTTAGTCTGCTTTTACATTTTATAAAAAATATTCCTAAGCTAGTTTTGATCAAACTGTTTTTCCTCTTTGGTTGAAGAATCTTCAAATGCCACATGCCGGGATGTGTAATTTGATCACAGCTGGGTTTGGGGCATAAGTTGCTTCTTTCCATAGCTGGAAGGCGATCATGTGCTATATGCTATATACAATATATCACTTGTTAAAGTTTGTCATTATTCACGGTTGTTTTTTTTCCTATTGATAACCCATAGGTCATGATGATAAACAAGGAACTAATACACGGGGTGCCCTTCAGGAAGTCTATAATCAGCTGTCGCTGGATAACCAGAGAAACCCAGACACATTTCTCAAAACTTCCAATGTCATCATACTTATGACTGATGGTAAGTACCAAGCGTTTTATCCAAGGCCTGAAAATCTCAGCAAGTTCATGTTCTTCTCCTGGCAACCTCAGCCAGTCCAGGTTTTACTCTTGACAGCGTCCCTCCATGTCTTACTGTAGACAACTTCTTTTTGTCTACAGGATACTACTGATAACTTCCTCCCTTACCCTGCTCCTAATGACCTGCATTAGTCCATATCCTGCTCCTGATAACCACCATCCAGGTTCTACACCTGGCTGACCCGAAATGCAGAAGGAGTTCGACTCAGCCGATCCAACATCTGGATCGGCTGAGCCGAACCTCCGGCAGGCTTCACACTGCTTTTCGGGCTATCCTGAAAGATCCCGAACAGCAGTGAGAGAATAGCCGAATGCCGCCGAGTGGCATTTGGC